CAGACAGACAGACAGACAGACAGACAGACAGACAGACAGACGGACAGACAGACAGATAGACAGACAGACAGACAGACAGGCAGGTATGCGAGCAGGTAGGCAGGCAGGCATGTAGGTGGGCAGGTGGGCAAGTAGGCAGGTGGGGGAGGCAAGCAGACAGGTAAGCAGGGAGGCAAACAGGTAGGTGGGCACGTAGGCAATAATAAGGTTTATCGACGCTGCAGAGATATAGTCTCGATTTCCGAATAGCTTGGACCTGCGCGGGCTCTAATGAGACCAGGAGTCTATCAATTGATAGACTCCTGATGAGACAAAGAAGAGAAAATGGCACGTACACAGTTACATACGGACAGGCACACGCGCACGCGCACACGCACGCACACGCACACGCACACGCACACGCACACACACACACGCACGTACGCACGCACGCACACAGCCGCACGCACACACACAGACACACACTTCAATAGGTGTACGCGAGACTGTCACTGCAACCCGCAGATACAGGAAAGGCCAGCGATCGGTGCCGCCACCCGTGAAAACTCCCGGGGATAGGACCCCCCCCCTCCCACCCCCACCCCGTAAACGCGACGACACTGAAGAAGAACGGCCCCAACGCGGCGATCACTTACAGATCGTGGCGAGTGTCGGGGATCTCTCGGTTGCTGCGCAGCTTGTCGCTCTCCACCTGGTTGAACTTGTTACGCTTGTAGCTGTCCTGTCCGTCAGCGAGCTTCGTCTTCTCGACGTAGCCGCTCTCGTCGAAGTATTGCCACGACAGCTGCTTGTCGGCGCCGACGTGCGGGGTGACGACCGGCAGCACCTCGCGCCGACGCGCAGCGATCACCGACGACTTCAGCTTCAACGCCGGATTGTCATCCTGCGACAGAACGTTACAGAGTTACATAAGCTTAGAGGAAGCAGCGGAACTATAAGTGGCTTCAGTGTGGAGTAGAGACATAACCTATGACAGGAGGCAGTGTCGAGTAGAGACAACCGATATGACAGGCGGCAGTGGATAGTAGAGACATAACCGATGACAGGAGGCAGGGCAACTAGAGGTGGCTTCAGTGTCTAGTAGAGACATAACCGATGACAGGAGGCAGGACATTATTCTACTACTTTTCTATTATCCCATTATTCTACTACTTTTCTATTATCCCATTATTCTACTACTTTTCTATTATCCCATTATTCTACTACATTTCTATTCTACGCGTATTGCGACTCGCTATTTGTCACGCTTGAAGCGTGCCGAAATCTAACGGCATTTTTGCGTTTGAAGAGCGAGCGACCGACATTCCGCCATTCTAGACTTATCGCGCGCACTGGCGGCTACGAACGCGCGTTAATTCTCACGTTCTTCGAACGACTCAGTTCGTCACGCGCTTCGCCCGAGCGACCAGCCAGCCATGCGGTCATATCGCGAACGTAGTCTTCAACCTAGCGAGACGAATCGCAGCAGAGGTAACCTCTCGCTGCACTCGTTGCCGGGCCGGCGTTGGGAAGAGTGCCAGTCTATATGGCAGCAAGATGACCGTGCGGGCAATAACGCCGGCAGCAGCAGCAGCAGCAGCAGCAGCAGCAGCAGCAGCAGCTAGCGGCGGCTACATGTGCAGCAAGACTTGCTGCCGATCAGTCTGCTGCAGCGATCAGATTGCTGCAGAGAGTAGAGCGGTGAATGCACCGACTGCGATCATAATCTGACAAAATAACGGCAGCGGTAGAGGATGATGAGAGGGAGAGGGGGAGGAGGAAGGAGAGGGAGAGGGGGCGGAGGAGGGAGAGGGGGAGAAGGAGGGAGAGGGGGAGGGAGGACATGGCGAAAGCAGCGGCGGCGGTAGAGGATGATGAGGAGGGGGAGGGGGACATGGCGAAGGCGGCGGAGGAGGGAGAGGGGGACATGGCGAAGGCGGCGGAGGAAGGAGGATGAGGGAGAGGGGGAGGGGGACTGAGGGGGCTGAAACAGCGTTCAAACATAGAGCACATATACATATAAACAAGAGCTAATAATGTCTAGAGTGTACAACGGGAAAGCGGGTAAATAGTGTTATGATTACGATGATTATGATTATGATTATGATCATGATTACGATGATTACGATGATTACGATCCAATATCTCAGCCTATACATATACTAGGAGTATCGTAGAGACAAGCAGTTGGTCCTGTTTTAGAGAACAAAGAATGCTGCTTAAATTGACTACGTCACGAATTTTCCATGGTAAAATTTGTAAAAAAAAGAATCCCCATTTTTTTACATTACAAGTAAGAACTAACGTTACTAAATATATCCTCAAACTCTCACCTGATAAAAATGTTTTTACGTTGGTTAAGTTTGCAAAAATCTAGACGATTTGGTAATTTCTGTTGTCTATAACACTATTCCCCCACTGTTCAGATACTGCATGTACATGGCGTCTCTCTGTTTTTCACCGCCAAATTAGGGCATATAAAGAAGGTATATAATATAAGCATGAAAAGTAAACAGAAACACTAATTGCATTTTCATACATTTTATTTTGTACAAATAACACACAAATATACTACTTGATGATGCTAGAAATTCGTGACGTAATACCAAAAAACCACCTTTGCAATACCATGAACTTATTCTAGACTCGCAGTAAAAGTAGAATAATATTACCGTGAAATAGCACTATTTCCCCGTTTTCCCGTTGTACACTCTAGGTATTATTAGCTCTTGATATAAAATAAGAGCATGGCGAATCGCAGCAGATTTAGAAGTGCCAGGGCGGATTTGCGGCGATCAGTGCTGCCCACGCGCATTTCAGTGCTACACTGATGCTGTCACTGTCGCTACGCTACTGAAAGATTACGTTTATACGCCTACGCAGAATTGAAGAGAAGGATAGGCAGGTGGGCAGGTGGGTGGATGAGTGGGTGGACGGGTGTGTGTGTGGGATGGAGTAAGGTAGGTAATTAGATAGGCAGGCAGCGGCAGGGCAATAGAGGTAGCTTCAGGGTCTATAGCGAGGGATAACCGAGGACAGAGCAGGACGAACTAGAGGGTGGCTTCAGGGGTCTAGTAGAGACATAACCGATGACAGGCGGCAGGCAACTAGGAGGTAGTCTGGTCTAGTTAGAGACATAACGATGACAGGAGCGCAGGGCCAACTAAGAGTGGCTCAGTGTGCTAGGTAGAGACATAAACGATGACAGGAGGCCAGGCACTAGAGGTTGGGGGGATTCAGGTGTCTGTAGAGAAGTACGTGACAGGAGCAGGGCAACTAGAGCGGTGGCTTCCAGTGTCTAGTAGAGACATACCGATGAACAGGAGGCAGGACTAACTAAAAGGTGGCTTCAGTGTTCATAGTAGAGACATAACTGATGCAGGAGGCAGGGCAACTAGAGGTGGGCTTCAGGTGAAGAGTGGAGATGGTAACGT